AGGGAGAGATTTAGGAGCTTGGGAAAACTGTTAGGGAGGAGGCTATTCTCAGCTGGACCTTCCTATAGGCTCCAGGCAGTGGCCAGTGTGGGAAAGAGTCAGAAAAGCAGTTCTCACTCCTTTTTGTGATTTACGCTGGACAGCTCAAGGCAGCCTGGCCTGGCCCGCCCCCTCCTTCCTGAAAAGCAAGGCCCACAAAACTTCGTGGTCTCCCCAGCCCTGGGCTTTGGCCCCATTTCCCTCGCAGCCTACTTTTCTTACACTGCAGTTTTCAACTCTACTTTCTTGCTGGGAAACCATAGAAAGTCATTTTTTACATTCTGAGTCGATTCAGAAGCTCCTCTAAACCACTCCTCTTCTCTAGGCAAGCAGCTAGCAACAGGTCTAAAGATACGTATACCTTGAAAAACTCTGTCTCCCCGACTTAGCAGATGCTAGAGAAGTGATTTAGGACCACAGCTCTGGGCTGGGCACCAACACTTAATTGTGGGTAACCTCATACAAGTCACTTAACCTCAGCTTGCTCATCTGACAAAAGACACAACCCTATACAGTCTTTGTTTTTTTTATTTTTTTTTTGAGACAGGATCTCACTTTCTCACCCAGACTGAAATGCAATGGCCCGATCTCCACTCACTGCAACCTCTGCCTCCCAGGCTCAAGTGATTCTCCTGCCTCAGCCTCCCGAGAAGCTGGGACTACAGGTGCGTGCCACCACGCCCAACTATTTGTATTTTTAGAAGAGACAGGGTTTCACCATGTTGACCAGGCTGGTCTTCTACTGCTGACCTCAGGTGATCTGCCCACCTCAGCCTCCCAAAGTGCTGGGATTACAGGCATGAGCCACCATGCCCGACCCTTTGTTGTTTGTTTGTTTGTTTTTTAGACAGAGTCTTGCTCTGTTGCCCAGGATGGAGTACAGTGGCACAAGGCTCACTGCAACCTCCACCTTCTGGGTTCAAGTGATTCTCCTGCCTCAGCCTCCTGAATAGTTGGGATTACAGGTGCCTGCCACCATGCCTAACTCATTTTTGTGTTTTTAGTAGACATGAGGTTTCACCATGTTGGCCAGGCTGGTCTCAAACACCTGACCTCAAGTGATCCGCCTGCCTTGGCCTCCCAAAGTGCTGGGATTATAGGCGTGAACCACGCCCACCCGGTCTCACTCCTACACACTCTTCAGGACCCACATTGAGGGTTTCAGATGTCCTTAGTCCAACTTCTCCCAGTGACTGTGGGAATAGAATTAAGTAGTGAAGGAGAGGTTCTGCATCAGTTCCCAAGTGCTATGAAAGAATAATGAGCAGAGATTCCCTACCTAGGTAGGGAGACCTTCCTCTCCACTTGCTAAAATAACTGGAAAATACACATCAGAAAACAAGAAAGACTGTGGCTTGGAAGTTCTAAACCTTTGAAAGGGCACCCTGGGGGTGGGGGGAGAGGAACCTCCAGATAAAGGCCAGTGAGTACGGCAAGGAGGGGTCCGGGGTAAGCCACAGGCAGTCCAATCAGCTCCAGTGGACCTATTTACATGCTAAACTACAGGCCCAATATTCAGAGCTCCTGGCTTTTCCAGAGAAGCCAGAAATCCATGTCCTTAGATATATATTTCTCATGAAATCTCCTGATTTAAAAATATTGCCTACAAATTCAAAATGTTAGAAAACCACTAAGAGCCAAATCAAATATGTCTAGGGGTCAAATCGTTTGATTGCTCATTTGTGGCCTGTGATTCCCAGGTAAGGCAGCCCCCTCAGGCCCTGCCTGCACTGCTGTTTGGGCTATAGCTGCCTCCACCACCTCCAGTGATGACAGTATCCATTCAAGTGCCCTTCGATGTGTATAGACTTTATCACAGTTAATCCTCACAATAGGAAAGCAAAGCTCAGAGAGAATATCGGCACACGTAGCAGGTAAGTGAAGCTTCAAGGCCAGAATCCGGGGCTGTCTTATTGCAAAGCCTGGTCTGATTCCCCTACACAGTCACTGGGACTGATCTCCAGGTTTCTTCAAAGTGAGACAGGAATAAAGGATGGAGGTGGTCCCAGGCACTCACCTGTGTACTCTGCGGTACCACAGGGTGGGGGGGCAGCCAGTCACCTGTCTGCTCCTTGTCCTCTGGGGTCCTCTGTTTGGCAGCACAGATGCAGTGTACTGTCACTGTTTCTGGATCAGTCTTTCTAACTAGACTTTGAGCTCCTTGAGTATGGGCCCGTATACATTCTCTGTATCTGAACCTCCAGGGAGCTCTTCCAGAGTAGATGTTTTCTAAAAGATGGTTGAATGCAACTGAATTCAGTATCACGGGCCCAGATCTGCTCAGGCAACTTAACATTCTCCTTAGAGGCTCTGGATGTCTCTCTTATTTGGAGACTGCTGGAGTCCTACCTCTTCCAGGATGCCCAAAGCCCTGTTTCTCTTCCTCTAGAATCATAACAGTTGTGGTCACCATCTCTTTGGCAATTAGCATTCAGTATTTAGAAGGTTCTCAAAATATGTTATTAAGTCAATAGCTATTTAGCTCCTAAGGTTCTATTTTGAATTTACATCTTGGTTTCTTAACCACAATACGAGGCAATTTGAGGGCAGGGTCCATGTTTTTCTCATTTTGCATCCCTCACAGCAAGGCCCTTGATACAGTTGTGCTCTGATAAGAGGAACAATTGAAACCTGAAATCCAGTCCATGATCCCCTCACCAAGTCCCTGTGTCAGCTTGGAGGAAAGGGTGCCTTTTTGTTAAACAGAGGTACCTTTTCATCATTCTTTCTAGTTCCTCATAATTTGCACAAAAGCACCGAATATATTAGTGGAGAACCTCCCAGCACAGTATCTGTGACATGGAAGATGCTCAGTATGTCTATCAGCTGAATTCATTCAACTCTGTAGGCATCTACTGAGTGCCTCCTATGTCCAAGGTTTCCCCATGGTTGAACTGTCCAGGAAAGTGAGTGAAAGAGGTAACTTTACAGGACCCCAGCAGCATATCCACTAAGATTAGTCCATCCAGTAAGCTGGCTTCCCTTAATGTCCTCACGGTTTTATTATAGATTCATGCTAGACATGCTCTGGAAATTCGCTTCTCTGGGCCTGGGACCAAAACCTGCAGGGCCTGCAGGACATATAACTGAAGTTGAAGCAGATAAGCAGGAGGGAGAAGCACAAGGCAAAATGATACCCAGACACAGCTGCAAAAAACGAGCGAGGACTAAAGTCCCAGGGCCTTGGCTGTGGCTCGAGCCTGGCTCCTGAGGGCCAAGGTTCTGTCCCCATTCTGGTCTGTTTTTAAATAATATCATTCCCTGGAGAGAGCCAGGAGTGGGTGGGACACAAAGAGAGGTAGATAGAAAGAAGCTGTATTTGGTGTCCAATGGAAAAGGGTGGAGGGGCTCAGGGAATGGGCAGGGAAAAAGAGAGAGAGGTGCATGGTTCTCTCGTTGGCAGCAGAGACACAGTGTACTGTCATTGTTTCCGGATGAGGCTTTCTAACTAGACTTCGAGCTCCTCAAGTATGGGCCCGTATACCTTCTCTGTATCTGAATCTCCGGGGAGCTCTTCCAGAGTAGATGTGTTGGAGTACCACGGCCTCCCAGGCAAGGCAGGGTGATGTGAGCACTCATTGGCCCTGAGAGTTCCTTGTACTATACTTGGTCAGCACCAACACCTCCCCAGCTCAGGTGCCAAAAATGCCCTCACCCACCAGCCAGTGGATGTTCTGCATTTTTGCCTCACCCATTTTGTTTCAGAAGCAACAATGATCTTAGATACCAGAACCCCTCAAAGTCCTCCATAGATATCTCTATAGCAGGAGCTCTGGGGATTTAGCCAGAGGCTAATACATTTCTACAAATTTGCATGTTTTATATATAAAAATTAACATCACTAGGCATGGTGGCTCATGCCTGTAATCCCAGGACTTTGGGAGGCCTCAATGGACAGATCATTTGAGCCCAGAAGTTCAAGGCCAGCCAGGGCAACATGGTAAAACCCCATCTCTGCAAAAAAACAAAACAAAACAAAAAAAACACACACAAAAAATCACCCAGGCACAGTGGCCCACGCCTGTAGTCCCAACTATGGGGGAGGCTGAGGTGGGAGGATCACCTGAGCCCAGGAGATTGAGGTTGCAATAATCCATGACTGCACTCCAGCCTGGATAACCAAGTGATACTCTGTCTCAAAAAAAAAAAAAAAAAAAAAAATTAGGGCAACTTTTGCATTCTATAATGTATATTGTTTGGTATATAGAAATGTTTTCTTCTTAAATTTTTGAGTAAAATGGATGCTCCTGGAAGAAGTGGCAGGTTTATTTTGTCACTCTACATTTATGTCCCACATCCCCACCCCCCACTGCTGTGTACACCCGGGGTACACGTACCCAAGTGTGAAGATATTGTCCATCATAGGCTTTTACTCTTGGTGCAGAATGTCCTCACTCCACAGCCTAGTCTCTCCACTACCTAACTGTCCACAGCCTACCCCTAAATTCAAGGCCTAGCTCCACTGTCACTTCCCCCATGAAGTCATCCCAGAATCTCCTCAGGCTAAAAATCATCATTGCCTCTAGAAGAACACCCTCAGTTCTTTTCGTGTATTTTATTTATCCCTGGACAAGTACCGCCTTGTTAGCCTTTTGTGCCTTTGGCTTATTTTCCGCATCACATGTCAGCTACTTGAGAAGAGGGTCTATGCCTGATTTCTCTCTGTGTCTACCATGGAAACTGGCACCATATATTTAGCAGGGACTCAACACATGCTGAACATATCTTCAGACTAATAATCACAATAATGAAGGGCAATGTCACATGGATGCCTGGTTCATGCAAACCTCTGCTCTGTGGTGTGTTTGTACTTGGCTATAACAGGTCTGTGGCTTAGGAATGGGTGGTAGTATGCTTCCTTCAGTGTCATAATGGCTCATTTTATAGCTGGAAATGACTCTGGTTCAGGCTGGAAGGATTCACCCAACAATGATTAAATAGCAATGAAAATGGGATCATACCTTAATATTGTCTTCTGGCCAAGAGTTCAGCATTGTTGCAAGATGGCCCTTGTCATGAATGGTGATGAACAGTCCACTAAAAGAAACAAAACATGTACACACAGAGAAACCAGGCAGTCAGACTAGGAACTGAGCAAAGTCCATAGTACTAGGTAGTCTCCTGCCCAGAGCCCCAGCAGTTTAGAGGGTCATCCTCAGGCTTTCTTCCAATTGCTTCTCTCCACAGGTCAAGGAGTCCATGGGGCCAAGGGGTGTGCCTGCCTGGAGCCTGTGCTCCCCAGAGTCTGTGCCCTTCTTTCCTTCCTCTAGACCAATACCCAGGATACCAGAATTCCCTGACCGAATGGCCCCAAGGCTGATTCCAGGGACTGGAAGAGGGACAGCCTCTTCTCCAGGTCCCTTCTCCCAAGTACAGACCACACTGCAGTGGCTGGATCCCTAGGGCTGAGTCCATGACTGAAACTTGGACGTGTGAGTTGGGATGTTCAGACACATGTGCATGAGGTTCTTGCAGTGGGGGATGGAGTTGGGGATAGGAAGAGAGGTGAGTGACAGTCTTGAGCTACTCCATCATCACACACACACACACACACACACACACGCGCGCGCGCGCGTGCTGCGTGTGTGAAGGCAATGGGGGTTGGCCAAGAGCAGACAGATACTGGAGGGGAATCAAGCTTTGAAAGCAGGAATTATACCTTTTGGGATTTGCAAGTTTGCAGCTTTTTGCCTGAAGGCAGTCCAATCTGCAGGCAACTTGGGGCAACAGAGACCAAAGTCTTAATAGCTAGAGGTATCAGATAATAGAGCTGGGGCTAGAAGAGAAGCCAGGAAATGAAGAGGGGGTGGATTCTGGAAGGGGACAAGCCACAGAAAGGATAAACTCCCAAATCTACCCAAATTATTGGCTGACCACTAAAGTATGTACACACAGGGGGACTGGCAAAAAATAAGTACAGCTGGAATCTGAAAGAACCAAGCAGAGATTTCAGTTATTGCTGATTAGGAGAGACAGAGTTGGGAATTTGAGTCCAGCCAAATCAACTCCCTCCTAGAACAAACATTACTCAACTGAGAAATAAAACAGAATCCAGAGTCCATAGAATCTAGGGTACATTGAAGTCCATTATAATATTCTGCTTACTTTATATATGTTAGAAATTTTCCATAATAAAAAAATTAAAACAAAATAAAACAACTACAAAAACACCACTGAACCCCAAACTGTTCTTGGCCTCCATATTTCTTGCCAGGACTGTTCTTTCACTCTCCTCCCTTCCATTGCCAAACTTCCTAAAAGTATTGCCTACACTAACTGCTTCCATTTGTTCATCTCCCATTCATTCCTCAACCCACTGCAGCGTATCTTGTCTCAACATCATGCTGCCAAAACTGCTCTTGCAAAGGCTACCAATGACCTTCATATTCCTAAATGCAATGGACACTCATCAGTCCCCATTTCCTTTGTCTTCTTGGTAGCATCCAACACTTTTCATCACTCCCCTACCCAACTTTTGTCTTTTGTGACTCCATTTTCTTTGAGTTTTCCTCCTACTTCTCTGCTGCTCCTTCTCAGTCTCTTATGTTGGGTAAGTCATCCAGCCATTATGCATTAAAGTTCCTCAAAAATCTGTACTATCCCACTTTTTTTCTTACTCTTATTCTTTCTATTTGTGATCTTATCAATACCCAAGGCTTTTGGCCAATGACTTTCAAATATCTATAGATCAGCGTTTCTCACCTTTGGCACTATTGACATTTTGGGTTGGATAATTCTTTGCTGTGAAGGGTGTGGTTGTCCTGTACATTGCAGCATGTTGGCAACATCCTTGGCCTCTACTTTCCAGATACCAGTAGCACCTCTCACTACATTGTGACAACCAAGAATATCTCCAGACATTGGCAAATGTCCCCTGGAGGAAAAAAAATTATCCCTGATTTTAGAGCCACTGCACTAGACCTTTTATTTAACTGCCTACCTGACATTTCCCTGTGCATACCTTAAAGGTACTTCAAACTTAGCATGTAGCAAAACAAATTTACCATCTAATCTTCCATCATTATGACTCAAATACAAGACAAAACAAAGACTCAAGACAAAACTGATTCTCTTTCCTACTCCCTTTCTCAGTGAATATTTCCCCTTACATATCTAATTTAACAATTCCAACCCCTTGAAATCATCCTTGATGGTCTCCTCCCTTCGTTTATACAACCCATTGCCAAGTTCTTCATTTGTACTTTCTCAGTAACTCCTGGTTCAAACACTTCTTTCATCAGTAACACTACCTCCTTTATCCAGGCTTCCAATATCTGTTGCCTGACGTGCTGCAATAACTTTGTAACATCCACTCTTGCCTCTCTCCTATTTTCTATATGCTAGTGAGAGTGATATTCTTGAAATCAATGACTCATTGTTTTACTTCTTGTGCTAAAAATAGAATAAAGACCAAAGTCCTCAACATGCCTACAGACTCTTGTCTGGCTCTTGCCAACTTCCTTACTTCATCTTGTTCCACTCCTCTTCTCACTCCACATTCTTCAGCCACACTGGTCTTTTTTCCATTCCTTTATGTGCCATGTTCTTCCTACCCCAGTGCTACTTTGAAATCACCTTTGCAAAGATTATGACAGTGAGAGAAATCTAGCATGGCTGTCTTCATTTTGCTTCTAGTCTTGCAGGTTGGCTGTCCTCACTGATTATTGGGCGTGGGGCCAGGCTAACCATGGGAGGAATTTAGTTTTTAATTTAACTTTGAAGCAAGTGTGATAATAGTGTCTCCCTGAAATTGATCCCTTCTGTGTTCAGTTTTGTGGGCTGAAACTGCCTTTGTAAGACTAAGGAAAGGCCACAAGATTAGGATTATGGAAAGGGCCTGACCTCTGCTAAAACATAGGCATAGTTTCTATAATCCCTTACTGCTCAGCAGCCATGTGGCTTGAGATCACAAGATTTTTGACTTCCCTAGTTGTTTCTATAGATAACATCACTATTGCAGGACCTAAGATTGGTCTTTTGAGATGTTTTTCAGATTTTTGCATTCTGGCAACCAACTGACCCCACCAAGACCCATGACTCATGACTCAAATGGTCCTGTGGCCCCTACCCAGAGGTGGGCTCGGTGCACAAGAACCATTTTCCACACTCTTATCATTCCGTCCCCAATCAATCAGCAGTGCCCATTCGCTAGCCTCCTGCCCACTGAATTATCCATAAAATCCCTAGCTTCTGAGTTCTCAGGAGGCTGAGTCACTCCCTCCTCTCAGCTGCCTTGTGTTAATTAAACCCTTCCTTTACTGCAATACCATGGTCTTCGTGAATTGCTTTTGTCTGTACAGTGGGCAAGAAGAACCCACTGGGCAATTACAAGTTCACATACCATTCCTTCTGCCTAATACACATGCTTCTCCTCACTCTTTAGTTAATTCATACTCATGCTCTTGATAACTTCCAATTCAAAGTAGAGGCTCTCTGCTATATGCTCTTAAAGTACTCCATCCCTACATAAACAAACTTATCACATGTATTTGTGTGGCTATTTGATTAATAATCCCCATCCCATTCATTAGACTGAACTGCAGAGGGCAAAGTGTGCATCTATTTTGGTTGTTATTGTTTACCACTGTTATCCCTAAGCTTAGTCCATAATAGATACTCAGTGCACAATTTCTGAAGAAATGGAAAATGAATACATGAATGACGATAATGATAGCTGAGGGATAAGGATGAAAAGTGTTGAATAAAGCTGGAAGAGAGTTGGAACAAAGGCAACTTGTGTGTATGCTATGTTGTATCATGTTCAAGGGATCATGTGGGTTGTGCTGTTGCCGGTGGCTTAGAGCAGGAAAATGAACACGTGGAGATGGTGGATGAATGAGGAAAGAGGAAAACACCAGAATTTAAGACTTGGGGAGTGCAAGGCTCCATTTATCACACTGAAGTGGGGCAGGGTAGGTATTTGAATTAACTTACTCATAAAGTTTGAGAGCAAGGTCCAGGTGAAGGGTACCAGAATATGCCATCCTAAAATGCGCCTGTTTGACCTGTAGATTATTTTGAGCTAAAGACCATCTAGAATAACCAGAGGCAGGAAAAGCTCTAAAAACAGGACACAAGTTTTTCTTTTGTAAAGGAAATTTACTTTTATAAAGGAAATCTCCACTTGCAGAGATGTCTGCTTCTCCCTTACCAGGAAGAGGAAGACTCTTAACAACTCCTATCAATGGAGAAGGCAAACAAACGGGTAAGATCCATGCACTATTTTAGACCTTACCAAAGCTCTGGTGTGATTAATTAAACACAGGATAGGTGTGAATACTTAAATTATCTATGTATATTAAAATAGGCCCTCTTTGTTGAAGATAAGGAGACGGAGGAAGGACACTTAAAATGAACATTTTTACATTTAAATTAGAGCTACTAAAATTTCAAAGGACTCTTTTTTCTTTTTCTACATGTACAATTTCATGCTCTGCACTGCAAAAATAACACCTTTTGAAATGCATTAAGAGTTTTTAACCACTTCTCAAAGTGCTTTCCCATCTATTGCCTAAACTGCAGCTAGCTACAAAGGATTTTGAAAGGATTGCCCTGGCTGGGGATTTTGAGATGTCCAAATCTTCATTTTATTTATAAAATAAAGTCCAAAGACTTTATTTTGTAAATAAGGACATTAAAGTCCAGAGAGGTGAAGTGACTTGTCCAAGGTCACACAGCTCATAAGCAGCTGGGTCTGCCTGAAGCAGGATCCTGAGCCCGATGCACTTTCCACTAATGCAGAATATTGGTTTTCTCAAGGATGTAGTTCTTGACAGAGACCTAGAGGAGGGAAGTGTGCCAAACAGAAGCACTTTGGGGTCCCTAATAGTTTTCTTTGATGTATATTGAGGAAGTAAAATGTGCAGGGCTACGGATTATTATGATAAGCAGATGTATTGCAGGTCCCAGCCAGAACCCTGCCCATCCTTCCATTTCCTGGCAGTACTGCATCTAAAGCAGCTCAAAGAAGATACAGTACCCCCCGGGAAGAACACCTCTTCAATGACCTCAGCAATGTATTTACAGATTTAGCCTAT